TCCCAGTGTGGGACACCTCTCTCACGAGTGCCAGTAACCCACACACTTGCCTGTTCAGTTCCTGCAGCTAATGCCTCCCAGTATGTAAAACACTGTGTTGTCCAATACCAGCCACCCAGCTCCAGTGAGGTGCATAGTGCTGTAACTTAACTGGGGAAATCCTACATAAAGGGATATCCTTTCTTTGGGCCCCACCCTGCTGGGTGGTCTCCTTTGAATGAAAATGAAATTCGTTCCCTTGGCCTGTGATTCACCAGCTGCCCAATAAAGGTCTCCTGGGTTAGCCTCAGTGGCTTCCTGCTGTCAGAGGGGTGCTTAAATCTTGTCTGAGGTGCAGTCTGTTTTATTTAGTCTCCCTGAGAGCTTGCTGCCTGCAGCAGCATCCTTGCAGTAAGCATCTTCCTGCCTGGGCTCAAAATGGAGGGCTCTGCTTCAGCTAACTGTTTGAGACCAGGTGGCTTTTCCTGTTGAGGAATGGGGTGCAGGAGGACCAGCCAGCCCCATCCAGTTATTGGAGTCAGGTGTTTACTCACTCTGGATCAAAACTGGATCAGTTCGTGCTCAGTAGTAGTTGTTGCAGCTCAAAGATGAGGGCTAGCATTTGAATGGAGCTGGCTTTGTATTGAGGGTGACTGAATCTGCCTGCTTCTGTCTAGGCTGGCATGGCACAAATTACCACGTGACTCTTGTGTGGGCCTAGGCCTTCCTTCTCTCTATCTCTTCCTCTTCCCTTGTCAGTTGGCTGCCTCCTAATCTAGTGCACTCCCTCCTTGCAGGGTTAATCCCAGGGGCATGTGCTTATGGTGAAGCCTCTGAATTTAAACTTGCTTGTTCAGTATTTTAATTTGAACAGAAATATTGTAATGCAGCTAAAAAGGCAATTTGAGCTGCAAACCTTCTACTGTCTGTTGGGATCTACAGCCTAGGCGTGCATGAGCACAGTTCTTAAAGTGGAAGGGAATGGTTTCTCCACTCCAGTGGTATAAAATAAAAAAGATGTGGGCTTGCAATGTTGGTTTCAGAGGCTGCTGCCCCAATATCTTTAGTGACAACAGGAAAAGTTCCTGCTCTGGTGACCAGGAGGCAGCAGTCTGTATCCTGTTCCCAGTTTTGCCCTTACATATGCTGAGTGCCTGCAGCGGTGTCTGGATAGGACTCCTGAAAAGGAAAGTAAGCCCCTCCTGTTCACTCCTACTCTGGCACACCAGAGCCAGGCCAGGAGCTTTTCTGAATGTAACTACTGTGCTTTGGTACACGGGAGTGAGTGTGGGTAAGTTTATTTTCCCTGTGATAGTCCCACAAGCAGGAAGGAAGGCCATACAGATCTATTCTGTTTGCAGGTACTTTTAATAAAGCCTGTGTCCTTCAAGATAGACAAAGTGCTTGGGTCCTGAGGTACCTGCCATTAGTGAAATCCAAAGTGGTGGAAACTAGGTCACTCAGGGAAAAAAGAGATCTGTTTTGCTTGCCAGTGATAGTCATCATAACCCTGGGGCTGTTCAAGCCAAGTCATACAGCTCCTAGCAGGCACTGAGCACAGGGGTTCTTCTGCAGAGGCAGCCATAAAATGTTTAGTCATCTGTTCTCTAGGGCTGGACTTAGCCCTTAGAATGCCAGTAGTTTCTGGCCTCGCAGCCTGCTGACAGCCTAGAAACACATGTGTCTACATCACCTGAGGGTTAGTATCTGGCTGATATGGTACTTGTAAATGCTCTACCAAGCTACGGTGTCCATTAATAAAAAGAACAGAAAATGAACCACTGCATGTTTTAGGATTGTCTTAATAAAGTTCCTTTCCTCTGAACTGTGTCCATGCAGGAAATGTTCTGAACAAAGGGAACTCACCCGGCAGTATCTATATCCAGTTCAGTTACAGGAGAGCAATAAATTGCCATATGCCAGTAGTTTTACACTGCTGTCTGACTTCTTGCGGCTTTCTAATCTCAATCTGCCCAGGCTGCAAATACCTAAGAAGTGTTCAAGACTTGCTAAGTTAGACTCTGCACCAGTGCTTCAAAGGCATTGCTCATCCAAGACATCAGCGAAAACCTGAAGGTCTCATGCCTTGTGACTGCCAAGATTTGTAGATGCCTGTGTGTGCCGTGACAAATCTTGTCTCTTCCACTGTGGCTCAGCTTTTGGCTCTGCAGCATGAGGGATTCGACTGCTCTAATTAGTCGTCCTGATTACCACTGTGCTGCTTAGTCTCTGCTCCATTCTGACTAAAGTTAGTAGTTCCCACCTTAAACGGCTAGATCTGGAAACCAAAGCTGGGGAATGAAGGTTGCAGGGTGTCCTATCACCAGGGATCCTGGTTTTCTGTTTCCCAAGGGAAAATGGAGAAAACCATGGATTTCCTCTTTTTATCAGAGAAAATGCAGATTTCTCCTTTTCGCAGAGAAACCCACGGATTCCCTGATTTTGCAAACAGCTCTGCAGGCTGGTTGAGCTCCAGCCTGCAAGAGCTGTTTGCAAACAGGGTAGGAAACCCCCAGCCCTGCTCAGAGGGGAAGAGGGGGAAGGGCAGGGCCTGAGGCACTCAGTCAGCCGCAGCTCCACTCAGCTCAGCTTCACACTTCCCTCCTGGAGGCTGAGGTAAGTGCGGTTTGCAGGGGCTGGGCGTCCCTCTGGCAGGGCTGGGGGATTGTGGGTCATGGCTGGGGGCACCAGCAGGGCTGGGGGGAGCCAGGAGCTGGCTCTGCCCCCGCCCAAGCAGGCAGCAGCAGTGGGGGAGCCAACTCCATGCTGCTTCTGCTGCAGCTGCCTGCTGTTGGGGGCAGGGACCTGCAGACTTGAGTCCCTGGCCCCATAGCCCTGGCAGCTGGGAGCCCTTCCATCGTGGCTGGGGGACAGGGACTGTGGGTGGGGGCAAGAAGCATGAGTAGGGCGGGGGGCTGTTGTGTGGGCAGTGAGGGGCACCAGCAGGGCTGGAGGAGGCATTGGGGGCAAGTGAGGGGCACCAGCAGGGTTAGGGGAGGCTGCAGGGGGCTTTTAATTTTAGTAATGGATTTTGTGGTTTTTATCAGAGAATTTGCGATTTTTTTGTTTGTCAGAGAATTTGTGATTTTTTTTTTAATCGGAGAAAACCAGGATCCCTGCCCATCACTCACATAGTTACTCCTAGTTCTTGGTGGATTGGTCGTCTTGGCTCCTAAAACCAGGCTGGAACTGTGCTGAGGGTGGAGAAGGAAGTGCTCTGACCATGGTGCTGTGTGCTCCATGCTGTGTAGTGTTCATATTTAGTGTCAGCTTTGTAATACTTTGCCTTTCATGCTAAAATGCTTATTGCTTGCCCCTCTACTGAAGGTCCCTGCCCTGCTGAAACCTGAGGTTGTGGGGTCTTTTATGATGATGATGTAAGCTTTCTGTTCCCATGTTCAAGAGGAGCTACAAAGGGCTAGAGGAGATGACAGGGGAAGACAGGGATGCTCTGTTTTGAAGTCTGCTATCTCCCTGTTACTTCTTTGGATCACCTCAAGGAGGTTAACGTAGCACAGGCCCTTTGTTTTCACTGGAGAAGAGAATTGAAGTCAGTGGCAAGTGGAGAAAACCATTTGATGGTGTTGCTGCACATTTTTGGGGTTGTGTGCTTGAAAATAAGGGAAGCCTGTTTAGAAAGGATGGACCCCAGTGCTGCCTCTGGACAGGTTTGTGCTGGACAGGTGTGTTCCACTATCACACAAGCCTGGGTGGGGCGTGCATGCTATCAGGGGAGCTGAGAAGGTTTCTGGGAGTGGGGTGGAAGTTCATAATCTTAGCTGTCCTATTCCATCTTCTCTTTGTAGCGGTGATATTCCCAGTGTCTAACAGGCTTCAGGTTTCAGAGAGCTAGCTGCTGGAGAGGGGGTCCCAATACAGCTTAATGTTACTAGCCTAAGGCAGGGATGTCAAACATTTGGCTCACAGAACAATGTCATGTGGCCCCTGGGGATGGTAGTGGGGCCTGCCATTTTGGGGCCAGGACCCACCACTGAAATCTGGGCCTTGGAGCTCCACTGGGGATGTGTCAGCAGCAGGGGGTGAGTGGTGGTTGCTTTAACCCCTGCAGCTACTGCCAGCAGAGCTACATTCAAATCTAACCCACAGGGAGCCTTGGGCACAGGGCAAATTTGACACCCTTGGGTTAATGGGAGCAACCACAGGAACTTGCATAGACTTTTACCAGGTCTGGTGAGGGTGGGCATTTGTCCAATGTCTGTCTAGGATGGCCAAAGCCTGGGGAGGGGCGTATTGGGTCTAAGCTTCTTCAGGCTATCCTGATTAGAAGCTGCTGTTGCTGCATCTCCCTGTCTGCACCTGGCCATCGGTTGTGCCTTTTCCTAATCGGTATGAGGCCCTTCAATGGTAAACCAAGATCGCAGCGTGAGGCTTGACTGCCGTGTGCTGTGCATGTGGCCATGCTTCCAGACTAGCTAGGGCATGTGGAACATAGCAGTCCCTTTCTTATGAGTCCTCTGAACGGCGGAGATCCTGCGTCACTGGTCAAACATCAGGGGTTTGTTTTAATCATGTAAAGCTGTAAGTCTGCAGTGGGCTCCTGTTGTGTCTTGTGATACCAGAAGCCTCATAGTTAGTTGCAACTTGTAGGCCCCTGGCTCTGAAAAATAGGCTAATACAGGTGTAGGCAACCCCCAGCGCACATGCCAGGGTGTGGCACATGAAGGCATTTTGCTTGGCACATGCACCTCAGGGCAGACGGCTGGGAAGTGGTTGGGTCTGCACTGACACAACAAGAATCAAGTCCCGCCACCCACCCATGGCACACCAACATCTTAAGTTAAGGTTGTGGGTGTTTTTGGCACTGCTCAAAAACATTGCTGACCCCTGGGCTAGTAGCAGAGTCCCGAGTCCTTGGCTTTCAACTCAAGTAAGCATGCAGTATCCAGTTCCCTCTGTTCCTACATAGGCAGCTTTGAGCAGTGACCCTCAGCCTCATCTGTTAACATGGAATGGGAGGAGGATGCCTGTTTTGCTTTGCAGAGGTCCTGTCATTGACATCTATGTCTGTAGCACTGGTGAAGAGCACTGACCTGTTCATCATGGTGAATGTACAGGGCTTTGCCAGTGTGTTGTCAGCTGGAAGCAGAGTGCTGAGAGCCCTGCCATAACATGGGCAGATCTGGCCTGGATAATGTGGCGGTTCCCCTGCTCCAAGTTGGAAAGGGGCCATTGGAGAAGAAGGCATATGCATGGTGGAGCCATTGGTACAGGATTCTTGTGGTTAGCAGTACTTGGGAAATGATTGGCTGGTGGGGGTGCTGGGGAATCGCATTCTTGGTCCCCCCCACCTTACTCCCCTGCCTGGGAGGAGCATTATTTAGAGAGTTCCCAGCACTCTTCAGCCCTGCGTGCCCATCCAGAACATCTTAGCATCTGGGGTGCCCATATAACATGCCTGGGCATGCTTCCTGAGAGCCCCGCTGGGCTGGGTGTGGGCAGGAGAGCGCTGGATGGTGCAGCTGTTCCTCTGGAGCAGGCTGCTGTTTCATGAACTGCAGTGCAGTGAACAGGTATAATGCTGAGAGGATCTGCCAGCTCTCCTCCCACCCAACCCTGCTTTGGTATGTGGCGCATGGGGGAGTGCAGGGGCGACTGTGCCAGCATTGGTGTGTTGTGGGACAAGGAGACATTGTCCCTTCAGGGTTGTTGCACTTGTGATCAGGCTTGGCAGCCGTGCCTCCCCTCCCTCCCTCCCCAGCATGTGCAGAGCTCCTGTGTGTTGTGTTGGGGCTGTCCCAGAGGCATCAGTTTCTTTTAATAGGGATTTTTCCTCTTGATTCTAGGCCTGGATTGGGGATATCCGAGCTGGCACCACTGTCTCCTATGGGAACCAGATCAAGGCCAGCCGCCGCTTGATAGCATTTAATGCAGATTCAGCAGGTAAGGCTGTTGTAGGAGGCTGCCTTGGGTGTGTGTGCAATGCTGACCCTGGAGCTGACATTAAGCCAGTAAGTGAGATTGGTGACCTGTTGTGCAAAGTGCTGTACACACACAGCTAGTTTCTGTCCTGAAGAGATTCCAGTTTAATAGACCAGAGATGTAAAGAGTGAGAGAAGGGAGAGATCGTACCCATGTTAGAGGGAGTCTGAGGCCCTGAGGAATGAAATGATTTGCCCCACACTCCAGAGGAGGTCTGTGGCTGACCTGGGAGTGGATCACAGGCCTCTTAACCATGTTGATAGAGGTGCACATCAGACATGTGAGCATCTTATGCCTGCAGAGCTTCTCACAAGCCACTCGTTTTGTATAGTGGCTGGCCTAGCAGGATGTCTGCAGCACTTCGCTGACTATGGGAAGGCCAAAGGGGTTAAAAAGGCAGTGGGTTTAGGCTGCCCTCTGGTGACCTAGGGGTCCTGCCCTGTGCCAAAAGACATGCAGGGCTGCTAGCATCCATTGGTTTGTTCTGGCAGCGGGATACTTGCTGATACTCTCATACAGCCCAGACTCCTGCTTGTTGTTGCCTGGGCTCCTACCACTGTCTTACTCCACCCACACACCTCTTGGTAACAGACTGCACCACATTTGACTTATAAATATTCCCTATTCCTTAGCTGAAAAGGCCCTCGTGAAAGAGCAGCCCCAGGGTGAGTGACACTGTTGCAGGGTCAGAGAAAGGGTTTGGCTTGATTCTTTAAACCTGCTCCTGTTTGGGTGAAGTCAGATTTTATTTGCTGTAAATTTCCTGGCAGGGAGTTTTACCGAGGCAGCTGTCTCAGAGCTAGCTCAGGGGTGGGAGTTGTTTCACACTCTAGTGGAGCCCTCTTTTCTCACCAGACATGTTTTGTAGCCCTTAACATGTCCCAGGGTATTTTTGCTAGAGCCAGATGCTGTCTAAAAGGCCTATGGGATCTTCCAAGCTGATTACACAATGCAGCAGACAAAAGGTGAAAGTGGGGGCAGGGAGCCTGCAGGTGACAATAAGATCATTAGATATTCAGTGTTCATGACCTTCATTAAGGCCCATCTGAAAGGTGGCTCCTCTGCAGTCCCACACATGTGGAAGATTGGCTCAGCACAGAGTCACATGGATGCAAGCCATGTACAAAGTGTCATTCTCACGTCTTGCTCTGGGTCTTCTCTTGCTAGCTTCCCCTGTTCAGAGACTGACCCAGCCTGCATTGCTGAGCTCCTTGGACCTATTGAGACTGGCCTGAGGTGTCTTCCTGGTACTGAGCAGAGGCTGAACATGGGCTCAGTCTTTACTGGACAACAGGCCAAAAAAAGAACGCAGCTGAATTGTTCTACATGGACCAAGATGACCCGCATTTACTTGTGTCTTCCTGATAACTGTCTGCTTCAGACATGACCAGTACAAAACAAACAGATCACCTTGCTTCTCTTAGCCAGTTGTGACACATTTAGCTGATGCCTTGCTCAGCCTCAGCGGTGGAGACCATGCATACGCTTACCTCAGATCCTCAAGTCTTCACCTGTGACTCTGTAGGAGATGTTGGCCATTTTGAGGCAAACATGAGATTGCCTTTGACCATTCTGTGGGCCTGTAACCTGAATTATATGGGAGAATGGAACACCCGACTGACTTGGTATCAGACGCATTTTAGTTTCTGACCTCCTGCCTGGCCAGGTGTCAAATACTAGTGGTGTGTAGTGTAGGGCAGTTCCAGCTGATAGGAGCTGGCATGACCAGTTAGGGCTGGCTCTGTTGGGTTGGACAGTGGGCAACTTATAACCTAACATTGTGTTTCCTCCTGCAAGGTGTGTTAGGTATCGTGTCCCTGGACTGCCAAGATGGAGGCAAGAGAGCTGTGTCTCAGCTGCACTGCCATTCAGGTGAGCTGGGTACTCACCACACCCCAACTTATTAGCTTGGTGTATTCGCGACACATCTTACTCCAGGATCCAAGTATCCAGTGTTAAATTCCATGCTTCTCAGCATCAGTAAAGAGCTATGCTCTAATCGGCTTGGAACATGACAGGAGGGTCACATGTTGATGCAGGACACTGCTAACTCTTGCGTGTCACCCATTGGAGGACCTCCAGCTTGTCATAGCATTTCCCATTCGTGCTGCACTGGGTTCTTTTAAGGATTTGTAGTTATGTGGTATTTTGAATGTGTGTCAACCTTTGAATGCATGGCACCCTCAACCAGGGGCTTTCAAGGGTGCCATGGGATGCCATGCAGTGTTATCCCTGTTAGATGTGTAACCGTGTTTGACAAGATAAGCCCAGAGGTTTCAACTAGAAATCAACAGTATTAAAACCATTCTGACCTGATGTGCTCTTTTTGAGTTCTTTGCAACAGAATAATTGCTCTGTCATTTCTCTGCACTCAGAAAAAAGTGAAAATGAAGAAAACTGGCATTTTCTAAGGGGTGCCTAGAGTCTAAAAAAGGTTAAGACCCACTGGCTAAGGAATCTGATGGGACTAGCTACCACATCCCATTAGCTTGCAGTGGGACTGTTGCATGTAACTCGGCTGGTCCTTTGAGTAATGGGTCATGTCTCGTTCCTGGTAAGTCTCTTTAACAGGCCCCTTTTACTTTCCTTACTGTGTATTTATTAAATTGCTCTTTGTAAGTACAACCGCCCCAGCCACACAACATACTCTAGCAAGGTGAACTGAAGAAAGGTGAAAGTTACTGGTGGGACAACATTCTAGACTTATATTAAATAGCATGGCACAGAGAGGCTGTCTCAAGGTAGGGCTAGCAAACAGTAGAGATGTAGATGGCAGAGACCAGCCCAAAAGGGAATGTGGGTAGAAATAAATTAGCGTGTCGGGGGGGGGGGGATCTTGAACGCCGGGGGGAAAATCCAAGGGGAAATGTTCCGGGGGGGGGGGGACGGCATTTGGGGGGA